TCAGCATCGCCCTCGATGATCTTCTCTGACCACAACAGGAATGGCATCGTCATAATATCTGGGTCTCCTCCAGCTTGGGTGTGCACAACGTTTGTGGAGGCGTGGTGGTGATTATGCTTTGTTTTCCACCAAGAGGTTGAAAAGCCCTGCCAAATGTTGCCAAATAAAAGGCCACCTAAGTTATTGTAGCTACGGTTGGTGAATACCTGATGATGGAGGAAGTCATGAGCAAGGAAGGCACTCTGTTGCCAGAAGAGAGCTATCAAAACACCGCCTATAACCGCACCAACAATTCCATTGAACACCAAAATCGCAGCAACTGCAGCAGCAAATATGGCTAAATTAGTGGCAATCTTGAATGCGTAATACAGCTTAGAGGATTCAAATGCACGAGCCTTCATCAGCTCCGATTTCATTGCTATGATATCCTGTCTATACTCTGCCTCCTTTTGGGCATCTAAGGGAGTTACGCGTGAATCTTTTACCAAGTCACCAATGTAGAAGCGAGGTAACCATTTGTGCACTGAGGCAGGATGGAATGCGCTAAACACATCAGTAGCATCTTTGCCAGCGTGCGTGAAAATGATGGTGCCTCCTGGATGCTCCTCACCAAAACTGGAAACGTCGTATACTCTGTTCTTGATCGCTATCCATGACTGCGAGCCATTAGTTCCGTTGTGTTTCTTTAACTCCGTCTCGGTGATGAACCTTTTATTCCCCAGTGTTCCAGTGGTGATTGCACCTTTTCGTTGCACAGTGGTAGGTGTCATAAAGTCGAAGCTTGAAAAAGTGAAAAGGAATAGAAATTTTTTGGTCAAGATGTGAACAAAAACAGCATGAAAAAAGAGAAAGGAGAGGAAAGGCTATCTTTTTGTATGTGTTGCGGACCTAATTATATACATGAAAAAATTACTCAGTTCTGATTGGTTAAGATAGATGCAGTTTCCAGGTGATTCAGTGCTGAAGAGGGTTAATTCAGTGCAAAGAAGTAAGAAATCAGATATTCTGATGTCTGAGGTCAATAATTAAAGAAACTCGCAGATAGCTAATCAAGTGTGAGCCTTGGATGTCACAACATTTGGATATGCTGAAAATTTGCGAGCGAAACAATGGCCAGCGTATCAAGTAGATTTTCCTTCGCCACCGCAACAACAATACAGCGGCTGAAAAACAGCTCTAACAACGAAAACACTGTAAAAAGCACTGCTTCTTTTGCCGTGAGTCTTTCTTTTTGCCGTGAGGTTCTTCCTTTTGCCGCGAGGTTATTTCTTTTGCGGTGACAGTTGTGGGCCACCGTAATATGATTGTTTAAGGGAAGGTCTAAATATATGACAGAGCACTTAATGTATAGTCCCTCGGGAAACTAGCCAGTTTTGTTTGCCTCGAGTCATGGACTCAAAGCTCAGGACTGACGAGAAAACAAAAGTAACTGTTTCCCTTGGGACCATACATTAAGTGTAAATTGCTAACACAAAACACAAATAGATTCCATGCTGCCGTCCGAGGTTCTTTACAATATTTGATCGCAGAAGTTAAGAACATCAGTGATACACTCAGCTTCTTCTCGTGAGCCACCTTTTTGTTCATATTACAGAAACACGGTATTATATTTCCCACCTTCAGGGGTATCCTTCGGGAAAAAATTCGTACGCGCGCTAGTTGCTCTAAAGTCCTAACGAAGTATACATCCAAAGAAAGCTTGATAAATGCAACTTATGACAAAAATATTATTTGAGCGAGTTTTCCTTTTGGGAAATGTCAGAGGTCGATAAATACCCTACTCATTTAAAGTGGATGTATTCCTCCCAACATCAAATGCGAGATTTTAGTTCATAAATGTTTGTATACAACTCGCGCCAAGCCAGGAAACCGCAAACCAACGGGACAACAGGACCTCCTACCTTCGATGACAATGGTTCAAAGATGAAACAGATGATTTGAGAGATCAGTACACCTCTACCAGTTTGCTTTCCAACGAAGTAATACTGTTGCGCTTTTGTCTCCTAAGGCCTAGTTCAAACGTCGATCTTTACATGTACCGAACCTAACGTTTCTATTAAGTACATGTAATGATTGACGTTTGAATCAATTAGGATCGGTAGATTTGTATTCGGATCGACAGTGCCGTTCTATCCGACTCGGCTAGTCGGATAG